ATATTACTTCATGCGTAACTAAAGCACTGTGGGCAGTGACGTGCGATCCTCCAGCAAAAGCAGAAGTTCGGTCTTGCATTTAAGCTCTGAAGCGAGGAAAGACAGCAAGACCGGATGAGTTCCTTTCTACTCTCTTCAAAAAGGAGTGATAATCTCGTGAGCTTCATTACTACCTGAATGCGCAAGATTTGGAGTCAAGTGCACGTTCCTTCATCTTCGGGCGAATCACCGATTTTTCAAGAAAGGATCCGCAACGATTGCGAAAACCACCATGGGATAAGTTCCATTCCAATCTTCACCAAAGTGCTAGTCTCTGTCATACTTCGACGTCCGACCGGTTGAAAGAAACAGACATCCGTGAGCAGCAGGCGGGATTCTGGCCGAGATGTAGATGTATTGATCAAATTTTTACGTTGCATCAGGCCCTTGAGGTGCATCACACCTATAGTCGACCAACGATCGCAGTGTTCCTTGATCTGAAAGGTGAGAATGCACCTTGACTTGCGTGCCTCCATGACCCCGCGAGCTACATAGGATGACTTTTCACAGCCGTAGATTGAATCAAGCCTAAAAGGTCAATGGGTAGAGGCCAGAAAAAGCTGCCTCACAAGGCCAGTTGCTTGGGCACCTGGCTTCCTTTGTCCATCTACTCTCACCCATGGAGAGGTCACTGTAGCAAATAAATACGGTGAAGGGCAGTTTACCGATCAAATAACCCCCACTAGATGGAATTATGAGCTGGATATCTGGGGACTCCTCTCGATGGTGGGAGAAGTCTCCGCACTTCATTGGACAGCTGACGCCCGACCAAGCTGGACAGTCCCCAGCCAACAACGTACTGTCCCGATCATGTTCCGTTTGTCTCATTGGGTGCATGAGACTGAGGGCCTATCCCAAACAGTGGACCGACGATCAACGCACCAACAAACCATTCGCTGAATCAAAACCGGAAGACCTTGCGTCATAGGACTCTAGAAGTTTCCACACGCATCCTTCAGTCACACTGGTGCGCTAAACCTACTCCCCAATGCATTGTGAGTGGGACTTTTGAGTCAAAATCCTTGGTTAGGGTTCCCAAAGAAAGAAAAACCCTTCGTCGGTGATGGGTTGCCGCGAAGTGTGTCATGTCCTAAAGTTTTAGGCACCCAGTTGGAAAAACCCGTCACCAGTCTCTTTCT